TCTGATGGGGGAGGGGCTAGTAGTGCCTCTCAGGTAGTGGTTCATGTTGACAAACTCAATAACAACAAGTCTGTATTTTGTTGTCCCGTACATGTCAATCTCTTCAGATGTTTACCTGATAACAAGCCTCTAAAATCCGTAAATTTTATAAAAAATCCATACAACTCACACCGGGGGGTGGAGTGGGGMGGAGGGGCAAATAAATCTAAGTTTACCACAGTACCTTACACTGTCAAACTTGTTTTTAGGGGTTCAAATTTGGGTGGGTGGGACATAGTTCAGGGGGGTGGGGTGCGCTTCAACTCTCCAAGGGCACAAAAATGGCYAGAGCCAGCACTGCTCAGGACATATTTTAATGAAASCTTTAGAAARTAATCGTATTTATGTCCATAAACTTTTGAGGTCAATCAATGTCAAGAATCGACAGTATCCAGCCCAAAAATTACTAAATTTAATCACCTTTTAGACACTGAGTTTAAAAAATGAAACAGCTGAAACATTATACAATTTTGCATCCAAAAAACCATTTCAAGGTGAATAAATTCACCATTTCTCAACTTAAGATGAACTTAACCATCAAAATGTAAACATATTGTGGTTTTGATGCAACACAAACCCTGATTTTACACATCACCGATCATGATGGATCGATTTTGTATTTAAAAACCCAAACACAAGATCTTCCTTTATTTCCTCATCCTGCAGCAACAACAAAATCTCCTCTTGCATTTGTTACAACTCTTGAGCACGACAGCCAAATGTTATTAAGGAGTCAAGAAGCTGAGAAAATTAAACCATGAGACGTTTCTCACAGAGCAAACGATTTCTTGTCCTCATCTGGGAAATCACCAAGGTTTTTACTCCCCTCCAACACCTGAGGCTCATGGGTGAGATCCAAAGTTCCTGCAGCTGAATTAAAAATCGTTCCATTGTTGATTTTTAGGATTTTTTTAAATAGCTTTTGCAATCTCCAAATCTCACCTAATAAATAAATTAAAAAACCTCCTCAAAAAGTAGATTTTCTGTTTTGATTTTTAATGTATCTCCTAGTCTTTGACTCCACCTGCTGTTAAAACCAAACCTTTCATGCTAGATTTAAAGTCTGTCTGTAAATCAGCTGACATAAACTGACTGGAGTGCACCGATGCAAAAGAATGTCAAAGTAGAACTTTTAATATTTTAGAAAAACAAAGTGTGGCTTTGTGTTTTTCTGGTGATGTTAATTTAAACAGAAAGTTCAAATCCAAAACTGGGTTAACCAGATTTTTTAGTCTGGTTGGTTGTTTTATTTCTGACACATTGGAGTTCTTTGTTTGTTTGTTTGATTCATTTTCTTTTTAAAAGTTGTTAAATTTATAGAACGATGCATCATAAACATGACAACTTTACAAGAACAAATACATAAATTTAAAATTTACAATTTGAAATGGCAAAAACGTTGARTGAAGGTTGAAAATAGGCTATAAAATAACATAAAAATATAAAATTACCTCAAAGACACAATATAATAAACAAAGGAAATAGTACAGACACAGGTTTTACGATACTAAACAAAGAG